TGTTTGTAAACAGTGTTTGCTTTTAAATGCACGTGTAGTATTGGTGTTTGACTACAGGGGTGTGTTTGTACGTTATGGTTGTGTTTGATTGCAATGGTGTGTTTGCATGAAGTGTTGACGTTAAATGCTGGGATGTATGCACACATACACATACACACAAACACTAAATTTTTAGCCAGCCTCCTGTTAACATACCTTTTATGTGCAGAAGGGTTGCTTCCCTGGGGTCCTGCTGCTGCGAGTGTGGGGCTGGCTGGAGCTTGGTCTCTTGCTCCCAGCTTCCTATAGGGAGGAGATGAGGCAGTTACCTGCACTCACTTCTTACCAGGCTGCTTACACAACAGGGTCCCAGTCGTGCAGATAAAAGACCACTTCCCCTGAAAAATATCTATCTGACGGCCCTAAGTGCATGGGCCAGCCGATGACCTCCCATGCCCCAGTGCAGGCTTCCCCAGCGTGCAGCCACAGCAGTGGTAGTTCGGCCACCTCAATGTCATCGCACAGATGCAACCCTATATAGTAATTAATGGAGCAAGAAGGAAAAACTGCAGGTTGGGTGGTAAAGACAAAAAACTAGTCTCAAGGAATAAAAGTATATAAAAAAATATAAACTAAAAATAGCACCTTGCATATTAAAACACCCATCACATCTAAAGTATGAGTGCCCTTTTAATTATTCCAAAATCAAACAGGAATTAAATTATGTATAAATATACCCCAGGGTTGTACCTTCCATTATATTAGTGGTTACATTTTGACTATGACATTTTTTTTAGACAGAAAGTGAACTTGCAGATATATGCTTCAATTACTTTCAAGATATATATATATATATATAAAAAAAAAAAGAACCATCTGCATGAAGGGATGAGGATTAGGATGACATGCTGATAGCCCGTAGTAATGCCAACCAGATGGTGCTGCTCATCTACATCCTAGTAGGCTCAAACAACTACTAACTTAACGGACTAGATATTCATGGAAGATTTATGTGGAACAAACCAGCTCTTGTTGCATGGGAAAAATTAAATGCTAAACCACTGGCTAGAATGTGAAAGGAAAGCGGTGGTACATTTACCTGGTGCTTTACACATATAAATATGGCTGTATTTTCTCTTAGTAGTATGGTGACCCCTAGTGGAGAAACATTGTTATACATCATAAATCCAGCTGCAATTTTCAACATTTTTTTTATTAAGAATAATATCCAACTTTCAAAGAAACTATTCTTAAATGTAACTTTTATGTAAGAGTTAATGATAAAGGAAAAACAAACACCATAACCACTAACCAAATGCAAAAAAAATGGGATGCGTGTCGCAACCCCAGAGAACATACTTACATTATATTTATTGTTCAATATATTGTAAGGCGACTCAAAGTCAATGAAAATGATTTATTAGACATGGCAGTAATTCAGACCCCACCTGACTGGACAAACATGCATGATAATAAATAAATAAAACATCCACATAGCTGACAAAAACTGCAGGCGGGGGGAAAGGTAAGATAACGTTATGCATTTTGCTTGTATTATTTTCATCATACTTGCACTAATGTGGTCTGAATTATTGCCATGTATGTACATTTTTCTAATAAATCATCACACTTCATGGAAACCTCAATGCAATTAAGATTGGAAACTATATTAGTGTAGTTCCAATGCCCTGGCAACCCCCATTGTAAGTAGTCAAACTGTTTTAATTAGCCTCTTAGCTGGAGTCCACTGGGTAACACACCACACTTTCACTACATACAGGTAACGTCTTCTTCAGCAATAGTTTCGGCTCTCTGCTGTCTGCAGTGGAGGTGGGAAGCAGCGTCCATGGACCCCAGATAATAAGTGAAACCATTATAAAACAGGAATATGCATAAGTTGAATGGATTTCCACATTTTTTAATAGTCTTGTTCCAACCTCTTGGTTGTGAGCCCAAGAAGCAGGACTACTCTAGACCTTTCTAGATGACTTCAAAACCTACTATATCTGGTTATGTAGTTAAGTACAATAGAACAAAGTATACATTTTGCTTTTATTCACACTAACCAATTGCAAATTAGAATTGAAAGTATTATTGCTGTGTCATTCTGTGACGCCCGATATATTTCCATACATGGACAGTACCTTCACTAATGTGAAGTCAAAGCTCACCGACTGGGATTGTTGCTAAGTGCTACAAAAAGTACAACCTAAAAAACATAACACAATGAGCATCTCTGTGACAGTCTCAACAAACATCTGATTTAAACAAATTATCAAGGGAGCAGCGCCTAGGAGGATCCTCAGGTGTGGCCAAATATGAAACGAGACAAGGGAACAGTAGAACAATTGGTGTAGTAAGTTGAATATTGATTGGGAATAAAAATAAGAGATGCACTTACAATATGTAGAGCTATCAGTAAGCTCTACTTTTATGCTCCTACATATTGCCACGGCGAGGATCATTACTACTAATCATATTCAAGAGTGGGGATTGTACCACTTCACGCTATCTATTTGGAGCCACCTTTAGGCTCCATAAAATGTGAGTGCACAATATATGTACCTCATTTGTGACATGAAATATGCTACACCAAAATGGTATATATTTTGTTTATATTTCATAATGTCCGGAATACCCTCCATTGGATCAAGAGATACACCTGACATCCTCAGGTGGGTATTGTACCATACAGGCGCAAAAAAGTACAGCTTACTTATAGCTCTACAGATTTGAAGTGCATCTCTTCTTTTTCTTCCCAATCTTTATTCAACTTACTACACCATATAGGTTTTCTACTGTTCCCTTGTCTCATTTTACTTGAGGCTGCTCACTTCATTATTTGCATACATCCTTCCTTTGACCTGATAGGAGGCACTCTGGTTTGGGTTGCTCCTTAATTACTGCACTACAAGAGCTGGAAAATCACCTCCCTGTAAACATATGATTTATTTTTATTTCAAGACGGCTACTTTAAACGTGGTATTTAAAATGAATACTATAAGAGGTAAAATCTCATGTAAGAAACACAAAAACCTGGGTCCCTTATTCATTCATATGGATTGGTTAGGATATTAGTCATACATCTACAGGAATGCTAATCAAATCTCATGAACACCATGAAGAGTGAACACTTTTTGTTTCCTCTATTACTAGATCAAATCATATTTAAAAATGGGAAGATCAATTCACAACAATATCTGTATCATGTAGCATCTCGCTGCAGTTTGCAAGAGACTTGTGTAGAGGCTGGCTAAGTCGGCATCGCAAGCAATTCATTTTGTGTACCAGGACAGGAAGATTGGGCTACGGCATCATTTCTTCGACAGTAGCATTTTCTTGGACTTTAATACCACTATATGTTACATAGTCTATTCACTTAAAGGGACATGCATTAGTTGACAATTATGTTTTTTTCTGTCAATCCCTTTTTTATTGAGACATATGTATTAGATTTCACGTATACAATTGAGTGGTATAACAGAAAATAAGAAGGAACAGGTTCTTGTATAAAGGGTTAGGGTATGTAGGTAGGACCCCTAGCACTTTACATGTAAGAATACAAGAGCACAACCGCAACATTAGGAACGGCTTGAAGAAACACAGTCTTTCGGGACACTTTAAACACCACTCAACTGATGTTTATGGGTATCCAATTAGTACATTTAAACTGGAAAGGAAAAGATCCCATCAAAAAGATAGGGCAACAGGAAATTAGGTGGATTTTCAATTTTAACACCATGATCCCAGGTGGTTTGAATAGTGACTTTGAAATGTGCCATTTTTTATAATATTTGCATTGGATTTGTATACATTCTATTCTAGAGTTCAGTTATGAGCAGGTTCTCTATTTGTATAATGTGCTGCTTTTCTTTAATAATGAAATTAACATTACTCATTAATATAAGAGACTGCCATACTGTATATGAAAGATGATACACTGATTACTTTTATATTGTTTTTGATTGTTAGTGACTAGAGTTGAGTAGAGTTGAGCGGACACCTGGATGTTCGGGTTCGGCTGAACCCCGGCAAAAAGTTTGAGTTCAGCCTCGAACTTGACCCCGAACCCGAACCCGAACCCCATTGAAGTCAATGGGGACCCGAACTTTTGGGCACTAAAATGGCTCTAAAAAAGTCGTGGAAAGGGCTAGAGGGCTGCAAAAGGAATTAAAATGGGGGTAAGAGAAGGACAAGTGCCCTGCAAACAATTGGGGTAGCCCCCAAAATATTGAGACATATAAAAAAAGAAAAAAAAGAATAAGTGCACTTGAGCATAACAATGGCTGGATGAGGCCGGTATAAATGTTTGTTCTGCACAAGGTACAGACAAGTCTGGTGGGATCCATGCCTGGTTCATTTTAATAAACGTGAGCTTGTCCATGCCTGGTTCATTTTAATAAACGCGAGCTTGTCTGTGATAACACACGTTCAGACAATACACTGGCTGCAGGGCACGCCAGCACCTCCAAGGCATAGAGGGCAAGCTCAGGCCATGTGCCCAATTTGGAGACCCAGAAGTTGAATGGGGCAGACCCATCAGTCAGTACATGTAGGCGTTCCACCATGTTGCTGAAATGCTGCCTCCTGCTAAGACGTTCCATATAAACTGGTGGTGCTGGTTGTTGTGGCGTGCTGACAAAGCTTTTCCACATTTCTGCTATGCTAACCCTGCCTTCTGAGGTGCTGGCGGTGCCCCACCTGCATTGGCGACCTCTTCCTCCTCCTCTGCCTTCGCCTTGTGCTTCCACTGAGCCCCAGGTGTCAGTTGGGAATGCCCTCAGCAGTGCGTCTACCAGCGTGCGCTTGTAGTCGCGCATCTTCTGATCACGCTCCAGTGAGGGAATTAAGGACGGCACGTTGTCCTTGTAAAGGGGATCCAGCAGGGTGGCCACCCAGTAATCAGCACAAGTTAGAATGTGGGCAACTCAGCAGTCGTTGTGCAGGCACTTTGGTGACTCTAGATAACCTCGGGCCGATCGCACGTCCCCGTGACAACGACGACGCATTCGGATGTCTGCCCTATCAAATTTCGATGGTACTTTCTGTGCCTACCATGGTGACCACGGGTAACGGAGATTCAGGGTTCGATTCCGGAGAGGGAGTCTGAGAAACGGCTACCACATCCAAGGAAGGCAGCAGGCGCGCAAATTACCCACTTCCGACGTGGGGAGGTAGTGATGAAAAATAACAATACAGGACTCTTTCGAGGCCCTGTAATTGTAATGAGTACACTTTAAATCCTTTAATGAGGATCTATTGGAGGGCAAGTCTGGTGCAGGGCGACTGACCCGTGCGTGCTGCAGCTGAAACTCCACTATCGCCTGCTGCTGCTTGCACAGTCACTCCAGCATGTGCAAGGTGGAGTTACACCTTGTGGGCACATGAGAGTCAAATAGAACCGTCAAATACTGTGGTTACATTGCAGTTTGACCAATTCAAATTTTTTTGGTGCTAAAAAGTAAATTTGGGTCGTGCACTTCATATCTGAGAGTCAAATAGAGCCGTCAAATACTGTGGTTACATTGCACTTTGAAAATTTTAATTTTTTGGGTGTTAAATAGTATTAAATAGTGGAGTTTCAGCTGCAGCACGCACGGGTCAGTCGCTTTGCACCAGACTTGCCCTCCAATAGATCGTTAAAGATCGTTAAAGGATTTAAAGTGTACTCATTCCAATTACAGGGCCTCGAAAGAGTCCTGTATTGTTATTTTTCCTCACTACCTCCCCGCGTCAGGAGTAAATAATTTGCGCGCCTGCTGCCTTCCTTGGATGTGGTAGCCATTTCTCAGGCTCCCTCTCCGGAATCGAACCCCAATTCCCCATTACCCGTGGTCACCATGGTAGGCGCAGAAAGTACCATCGAAAGTTGATAGGGCAGACATCCAAATGTGCCGTCGCCGTCACGGGGACGTGCGATCGGCCCGAGGTTATCTAGAGTCACCTGCCTGCGCAGCGACTGCCGAGTTACCCACATTCTATCTTGTGCTGATTACTGGGTGGCCACCCTGCTGGATCCCCAGTACAAGGACAACGTGCCGTCCTTAATTCCCTCACTGGAGCGTGATCGGAAGATGCGCGACTACAAGCACACGCTGATAGACGCACTGCTGAGGGCATTCCCAACTGACACCTGGAGCTCAGTGGAAGCACAAGGCGAAGGCAGAGGAGGAGGAAGAGGTCACCAACGCAGCTGGGGCACTGCCAGCACCTCAGAAGGCAGGGTTAGCATGGCCGAAATGTGGAAAAGCTTTGTCAGCACGCCACAACAACCAGCACCACCAGCTGATATGGAACGTCTTAGCAGGAGGCAGCATTTCAGCAATATGGTGGAACAGTACGTGTGCACACGCCTACACGTACTGACTGATGGGTCTGCCCCATTCAACTTCTGGATCTCCAAATTGGGCACATGGCCTGAGCTTGCCCTTTATGCCTTGGAGGTGCTGGCCTGCCCTGCGGCCAGTGTATTGTCTGAACATTTGTTTAGCACGGCAGGGGGTATTATCACAAACAAGCGCAGCCGCCTGTACACAGCCAACGTGGACAAGCTCACGTTTATTAAAATGAACCAGGCATGGATCCCACCAGACTTGTCTGTACCTTGTGCAGAATAGACATTTATACCGGCCTCACCCAGCCATTGTTATACTCAAGTGCACTTTTTCTTTGTTTTCTTTTTTATATGTCCCAATATTTTGGGGGCTACCCCAATTGTTTGCAAGGCACTTGTCCTGCACTTACCCCCATGTTACTTCTTATGCAGCCCTCTAGCCCTTTCCAGGACCTTTTTAGAGCCATTTTAGTGCCCAAAAGTTCAGGTCCCCATTGACTTCAATGGGTTTCAGGTTCAAGTTCGGGTCAAGGTTGAGGTCAAACTCAAACTTTTTGCCGATGTTCGTCCGAACCCGGCGAATCCGAACATCCAGCTGTCCTCTCAACTCTTTGAGTGACATTATTTTTCTACATAATTGTGCAATAGAAGTTATTCTTTCTTCTTTTTTAAGTTTTAAAATCTTAACTTTGTCTAATGCACCTCTCTCTTTAATGCTTATTATAATTCCCTTCTTTCTCCCCACTCTATATCGAGCAACTAAAGAAAATTGCTATCAGCTAACATTGGTTTAGACACTATCAGTCTCAGTAAACCTGGAAAAGCCCTATTGAAATAAGGCGATATGGCAATGACGAGCACATCTAATGGTGCTATGTCACTTCTGGTAACCTAAAGACGTAGCTGTATGTACACAAAATGGGGATTTCAACCTCGGAAGTGATGTGACAAGGTGTATGATGTCACTTCCTGTACGGACTTATCGAGGAAACTGAGAAAATCTGAGGCGAACACAACTGGATTGGCCAATGATTATGAAGAATCACCAATGACAAGCCAGACCGGCATATTTAAAAGAGAAAATCACATGGAGCAGACAATACCGATTGAGAAAGCCTGTGAGAAGGGTGAAAAGAGTTTCGGATAGAGGAATCCTGCTAGACATTTACATTTGCTTATTTGCACTTATACCTTCAAGTCCGTTCCTGGTTCTCTTGAACTGCTCCAAGAAGAATGGTGTCCTCTATATAGAGACCCAAGCTAGTCAACCTAGAGCCAGGTATTTAGGCTTTGGCCAAGGTGAGCAATCACTTAAGTTGTTTAGTATTCACTATATATTCATACCTACTACACCATATTGTTCTTTGCGGTGTTGCTTTTGTTCCCTTATATTGAGGAAAAGTACTGTGAGCCAAAGGGGAAAGTGCCACCAGACGGCACTAAAGCAGAAGAGATTTGAGCCTGTCCTGTTTTAGGCTCTTCCACATGTGAGTTGACACTTTGCTAGATTACCTCACAATATACGCTAACTACACAGATTTATACTATGTATTTCCTCTTGTGTTTTCTTTCATATATGTATTGAGACCAACTGGACCACATTATCATTTTTATTTGAAGACCAGACAACCCTTATTTAGGGTAAGTGTTTAATTTATAATACTTATCACTCCACTCTTAAGGATAATTGCTTCTCGGCTCTTTTCCACTTCTTCTTGTATAAAGGATTAACATGTCTCATTTTTGAAGGCCTGCATCATTTGATCGCGGACTTGGGTGCCCACTGGGATCTCTATCCGGGGTGAGCATAGAGTTGAGGTGGTTGCTGCGGCCAATCCTCCACCGGTGTGGCTGATGCATGGAGGCAGTGCCTCAAGAAGCTCTAGACCAAGGAGGGCAGACAACATGGTGAGTAAACACTTGCATGGCATGATCGCCCAGAGGGGTTCTGTCCCATTCTATCAGCGTGCCACCTTTGTTTTCCTCTAGCTGCTCCTGCTTTGTAGCTTTTTCTCTGCCCTAGAGCTTCAGCCAGAAATCTTGAAACAGCTCGTTTAATCTCCACAGGGTAAATTCCAGGGGACCGCGATGTGGCTTTTGCGACAGATGTAGGACCTGTGCATCTGAGTTAAAGGCAGCCGCCATCTTAGTTACTCGTCACAGGCAACAAGACACCAGAACATGCGTCTGACAGACAATAGTATCTGCTGTAGTGACGTGCGATAGTCCAGTAGGGACCGTTATAACACCCACAGGTCAAAAGGATGGGGTAAGAGGTTAGCTGACACACCCAGCAAGCAAGAAAGTGAGGAGAGCGGCCAACTCCCCCCTGGTTCAACACCCACAGGCTGCCACGATGCAACTGGGGCTCTGTGTAAGGGCACGTTTTGTGCCCCAGGGCACTCCCAACGTGGGTGGTGCACTGTGGTGCTTGTATCAGCTCTGTGGCTCTGGATAATCCCCCGAAAATTGGCAAGAGATGTGTGAACCACTGCAACACACATCTAGCTGGTTTAAAGATCAAGCTCTGCCCCCTGACAATTATGTTTATAAACCAGCATGTAAACCATTTTAAACAGATATAGAAACTAAAATAAAGCAAGAAAAACTTTGAATAGTATGTAATAAACATTTACACACTTCCTCTGAACTTGGTCATATTGCATAATTGGGCACGTATCGTACCCACTGAGTTCAGTTTCAGACCAGTCCACTAATGACAAAAGCAGGACATAATTGTGTTGCAGCAGAACAGAAAAACACAACACCATAGCCTGCTTTGCATAAATCACACTGATCTGACTCCCTCTCTTCTTCCCCTGTCCTGAAGATGAAGAGATCCTCCAACATGTGCATTGGGGATGCCTGATGGAATTACACTTTTCCAGTATCCCTTGGGACAGGACACTGATTGGTTATAACAGTGTCCACCTGGTGTGGATGTGGAAAGCATAAAAACGATGAAGAATGTAAACTTGAGGGAAAAAAAATTATAGTCACCTGCTTTTTCAGCCTAGAGAGTGAGGCAACAAGCTCATTCAACTTCTGAATAAGAGATACATTTGTCTCAAAGTGATGCATGTCCCTTTCATTTGGGAATTCAGCAAAGTATCCATGCAGTTATATCCAGATGTACTATGTTGTCATCCTTTTCACAGCTTTATTTTGAATGCGCCAAACATTGATGTTCAATTAATTGTGATGTATGGGCATTGGGCAGTTGGGCCCCAAAACAGCAGGTGCTGGCGAGTTTCCGTAACGCAATGGCATATGCTGAAACTGATTCACCAGGCTCTTGTCTTCTTTTATAGAATTTAAATCTCTCTGCTATCTCTAGTGGTTTGGTTGGAAATGGCTAGTTAACAGAGTAATTAAGCTTGCCAATGGCTTGCAGGCAGGTTTCTCTGGGTGTAAGAGACTCCTTAGCGTATCATACTGTGGCAGAACCAGCCTCGCCACTGGGCATTGGAGAAGACTGATTGCCAGCCTCCTGCCATGTGACTATGGCCCCTGGGATGTATTGCCTGCTCTCCTGTACTGCTGAGGATTGCTACCAACTAGGTGGATTTGGCTATGGAGCTTGTGTAGTGCCCTCTGTTGGTAGCAACAGTAATATGCACTATCTGAATAGCAAGACTGGTAATTTGCATATTCGGGTAGATTTGCATATCGCTAATTCTGCATGCAGGAGAGACATTTTGTGTTAATTATGGTCTTCGCCACCCATTTATAAATATGTAATTATGTTATAATAAGTCACTGTATGTTGCCTGCTATGATTTGATTGTTTGTATTGAGTTTTCACAGCAATGTTAATGTAATGACCATATGGGCTAGTCCCAAGTAAAATAAAGTTTTAGACAGTTCTACTTCACCCTCAATTTGGAGTCCTGTCTCTTATTGGGGGGAATCTGCTACAAGGGATTGCTATACCCTGCATATTCCCTTGCTATAATCACTCCTAAGGTCTTTTAAGAGCTTGTTCCTGCTTTGCTTGGAAGGGAGGTTCTGCCTGTGGTGGTTGTGGTGTTGACTAGAGTGCTTGAAGCCCTCAAGAAGCGCTAGGAGCATCCATCAACGGAGGTACCCAGTCGGGGTGCCAGGTGATCCGTTACACATACGTTCTGGCTCCTATAACTGTTAGGAAAACAGCGACCTGTTTATAAACTCTCTCCTTCCTTTCTCAACCAAAGAAAGAAAACAAAATAGTGAAAAGTCAACAATAAAATAACTATTTAAAAATGTGTCCTTAATTTGCATCATTCTGTCCATCATCTTCAAGATCTACAATCTTTTTTTCAGGATAGCTTATTCTACTCCTACTAGGATACCATTTCAGCCTTTTCACTGTGGAGTTTCTCCGACTATAGTCCCTTAATGGATCTTCTGGTTGCCAGCGGTTTGTGGCCCTTCTCTCTCTTTTTGAATGGACAGTATTTTCATGACCACAACCTTCATGGTTACTTGAACTGTGGCTTGACAGTTCTTGTTCCTGAATTTCATGGAGTATTTCCTCCAAATCATCCCCTATTACGTCATGAGCCTCTGTACCAGGTGTATTGCAGATATCAGAAATGTCATCCTGCCAAACTCCATGCCAGATATCAGTGTCTGGTTGCATGAGTGGCCCTACCCACTTTGATAGGTTGTCTGTTATACATGGTAGAAGTTGATTTGTAAGTCTCTGTGTATAACATCCATCAGAGGTTAAAACTTTATAGTGCGCCGGCCCCAGAACTTCCTTTATCACTGCTTCTTTCCAGCGATTCTCCTGATGATATACACGCATCCAAACAGAATCCCCTGTCTGGTAACAACGGCCTGCTTTTCCGACTTGCATCTTCGATTGTTGCTGGATGACCCTTTGTTGAATCTCTGGTTTTAGCAGATCCAACTTTGTCCTGAGTTCACGGCCTAACATAAGGCATGCTGGAGGTTGTCCAGTGGTTGGATGAGGTGTATTTCAATACTGTAGAAGGAACTCAGACAAATGATGTTCAGGTCTCTTTCCTTCTGCTTTCAGACTTCACAGAAAACCCTTTAACTTTTGAACAAAACGTTCTGCTTGACCATTAGTAGCAGGATAATAGGGTGCTGTACGTTGGTGCTGAATACAGTTTTCCTTGAGAAAAGCCTGAAATTGTCCAGAAACAAACTGCGGTCCATTATCTGAAACAAGCACTCTTGGCAAGCCAAATGTTGCAAATAGTTTCTGAAATGCTTTAACAGTAGCTTCTGCAATGGTCTGTGACATGAATAGAACTTCTGGCCATTTAGAATGTGCATCTACCACAATCAGATACATTTTATTTTCCACTGGTCCAGCAAAGTCTATGTGAATTCTCTGCCAAGGAAAAGAGGCCAGGTCCAAGGTTGTAAGGCATACCTCTGAAGTCTTGCTGCTGTCTTGATTGAAATACCTTTCTGTGGGTTAAAAATTGTCAATAAAGGTTTATGGTCCGTAAGCAGTGTGAAGGGTCGACCATATATATATATATATTATATATATATATATAAAGATGGAATTTCTTTACTGCCCATACTATTGCCAGAGCCTCTTTATCTATTTGAGAATAGTTTTTTTCTGCAGCTGTGAGCGATCTAGAGGCAAAAGCCACTGGCCTGTCTGTCCCATCAGCCATGGAATGAGACAGGACTGCTCCCAGTCCATAAGGTGATGCATCACAAGCAATGGAAACAGGCTTTTCCAAGTCGTAGTGTACTAAAAGACATGAACTACGCACTAGTTCTTTTGACTTATGGAAAGCTGAAGCACATTCTACTGTCCAGCGCCATTGTCATTTCCTCTCTAGAAGACAATGTAAAGGGTACAGGACATGAGCTAAATTTGGCAAAAAATGGTTGTAATAATTTAACAGACCAAGATAGGACCTTAGTTGTGGCACATTTTGTGGAGTTGGAGCATCCTGTAATGCCTTGACCTTCTCATCTGTTGTATGCAGCCCATGTTTGTCAATTACATGAGTACAAAATTCAAGACGATCCTGCATGAATTGGCATTTATCCAAATTCACTTTCAATCCATATTCCATAAGTCTTTGCAAAACTGCCTCTACATTCTGTTTATGTTCCTCCTCTGATTTACCCGTCACCAGCATGTCATCTAACAGGCACTGTGTCCCAGGAATTCCAGCTAACAGCTTGTCCATTGTTCGCTGCCAGACAGCTAGTGCAGGTGAAATGCCAAAAACCATAAGGTTATACCTAAATAGCCCCCGATGGGTATTAATTGTAAGTAGTGGTCGAGAATTTGGATATACAGATAACTGTAGGTATGCATTTTTCAAGTCAATTTTGGTGAATTGCTGGCCACCTGCCAATGATGCAAAAATATCATCTACCCTAGGAAGGGGATACTTATCTGTTTTAAGCTGTGTGTTAAGAGCCATGCTGAAATCCCCACAAATCCGTATCTACCCATTTCGTTTTCTCACAGGAACAATGGGCGAAGCCCACTCACTATTGTGAACCTGGGAGATGATATTCAGTTCCTCTAATCTCCTCAATTCTGCCTCCACTCCAGCCCTTAGAGCAAAAGGCACACTTCTTGCTTTAAAAAATGTTGGTGTTGCTCCTTCCTTTAATTCTAAGGAAACTTGTTGTCCATTTACAGTCCCTAATTGGCCATCAAACACTAGTATATACACTTTTCCTGTAATTCCCTAATCCAGTCAATTCTGGTCTGATTTTCATTCAACACATGACATGGATACTTATGCACTTGAGGCATCCCGAAAGCCCTTATCCACTCCCTACCAAAAAGTGAAGGTCCTCCATTCTCTAAGATATAGAGAGGTAGTTTCTTCTTACACTTGTTGAATGTAACTGTGACTGTCACACAACCCACTGGTATTAACAGCTCTTTAGAATATGTCTGCAGTCTCGCTGTTGTCTGAATTATTGGCCTATGTATTTTAAGGCGTTTCCAGTGTCAAAGAAATCACTGATACAGCCGCACCTGTGTCCAAATCCATAGTCAGTTCCTTTCCATTTAAAACAACCTAAACTGTGAATGCAGCCAGATTAGAACCTATTTTATAAATTTTTAAATTTCGGACGGGAAATTGTTCATCCGAATCCTCCGAAGACTTCTGCATTTGTACTCTATAGGCATTCTATGCTCTGTCTCTCAAGCGATTATTGCCTCTCTGCGCTGTGGATTTACACACTCTTTGTAGGTGGCCCATTTTACCACAAGCATGACACTTGGCATCCTTGAATCTGCATGTAGTTGCAACATGTGTAGTAGCTCTGCAGCGATAACATTTGTAATGCGAATGTTCCTGTTTTGAAAGTCTCTTTCCCTGTGGTACACTCTGTGCTCTAGCATCTAATTTTAAAACTTCTAGCTCTGCCTCCTGTGTGTTGTCCAGTCTGCTGTGTAATACATTAGCATCCTTAGAGGCTTGTTCTATAATGCTTGCCATGTTCATTGCCTTTTTAAATGTTAAATCTTCTTCTGTAAGCAGTCTCCTTAGCACTGCATCACTTGCAATGCCCATTACAAACTGAACTCGCAGAGCAGTGGGCTGATGTTCAATGAATAACTCTGTATGACTTGCATTAACTTGTACGAGTTTCAGAACTTAACCCCAATAACAAAAAAAAATAAAAAATTGTGAAATGACTGGAGGCACTGTACAGAAATTCATAAATAAAAAAAAAAGTTTATTTTCACTTCATTAGTTAGAAATACTGTAATGGTTCAAATACCACAGGACACACATTTATCCAAATGCATATCAACCACTGTTTCCCAAACGCCAAATTATACAGTGCTTTTTCTTTTTTTTTTTTAATAAGAGATATACCAAAAATGTAGTTCACAAACCCACCATCTTCATAAAAGAACATTTGCCATTTAGGTTTATGTTCTTGCCCCTTCCCCCACCCCCCCAAAAAATCCTCCCCCTCCCATAAAAAGTGGCAAAGTTAAATGCACACGTTTAGTAAGTGAATATGGGGAAAAAACCCAAAACATTGTTTCAGCCCTCTGTGATTAGTTTCCATTTAGGAGAGCAATGCTGCTTTATAGTCTAGCAGTTTTTTCGGTGATTACTTCTAAATGTCCCCATTTAGCGTTACATCATAAAATAGTCTCTAGAACCATTAACCACATATGTTGCTATCTTTGTTCAATGTGCCTTCATACCACAAAAAACATCTGACTGTGCTCACAAAAGATTCTGTTTATGTTGCATTAGAGAAAAGGGCCACTTTGACAGTGCAAAGTGCAATCTCCTGGAGTAAATGTAACAGATACCCTTCAAACAATTTACACGTTAATAAATAATATTCAAATAAAATAAACTACTGGAAAAAAAATATAATATTCATGGCAGTTCCAGTAATTTTATAATACTACAGATTAAAAACAAAGACCTTTTTTGCATTAAAGAATAAACTAAGTAGAATAATAATGTTTATGGAAGCATTTTCCATGAAGGCCTTCAACTATATCTGGACAAATTATTATTTAGCTAAGCGCCATATATATGACTAAATACAGGGGGGAAAAAAATATACAATTAAAACAAACACTTCTAGTATTTGAAAATGGCTAGACAGACCACACCTGGAGCTGATAGCACCCGGCATAAAGAATGATGCAGCTAGTGGCGCCCTATATAAATGGCTTACTAGGAACCATAGCTGTGGCCAGTTTAATAAAATGGGCAAATGATTCCATGTCAGAACTCACTGAACCTGTTTGCAAACTCTGGACTGCTGATCCAGGGTGCAACAGAAATACTTCATTCCGTCCAAGTAGCTACCTAATCTTGGGCTCCCTGCTTGCATATTTACACAGCTCTGATAAGGAAGTGCAAAAAAGGGACCATTTCTAATGATTGTATTGCAGGACAAAGTGACTGAGAGCCCTTGTTCTGCTATGTCTAAAGAACAAGAATATAATCAACAGCAACGGACAGGAGGTCTGGGTGGAGGCAATTCTGGTGGGACTTCAGGTTCTGGTTGAAGAGACAGAATGCTGTTGGATAACTCACTCCGCATCAGGTCCATAGGCATCTGAAAAAAACCCAAAAACTGTTTAGGCATTTAATAAAATAAATATTCAGCTAATCTGCGAATAAAACAAAAGAATGTTATGATTTAGACAGTGGCGTACATACCAGGGTCGCAGGGGTCGCGGCTGTGACCGGGTCCGGCCCATCAGGGGGCCCGGCTGCCCCTGCGACCCGGTATGTACCCACAGGGCCAGCCTCTTCTCCTGGGGGGCCCAGGAGGCGGCTACCTCAGGGCCCCCCCGAGGCTGGCCCTGCTGACTCCGGCAGGCGGGCTGGCTGTCTGGGTGGCCGGCTCGCGAGGGAGCACTCTCCCCTGACTGCTTCCTCTTCAGCTCCCTCGCGCACCGCACTGATACCGGAGCCGGAAGATGACGGCGAGGGAGCTGAAGAGGAAGCACTCAGGGGAGAGTGCTCCCTCGCGAGCCGGCCACCCAGAAAGCCAGCCCGCCCAGCAGCACCACTGGACCCCAGGGAATCCCCTCAGCTCTCCAAAAGGTAAGGAGGCTGGGGGGATTAAATTTTAAAAAAAATGTGTGTGTGTTTGTGGTAGTGTGTGTGTTAGAGTGTGTGTGTGTGTTTGGTGTCTGTTAGTGAGTGTTTGTCAGTGAAAGTGTATGTTTTGTGAGTGTGTATGTATGTCTGTCGCTGAGTGTGTCTGTCAGTAAATGTGTGTGTCTGTTCGTGAGAGTGTGTGTGTGTGTCTTCAGCATTTACCTTTCTCCAGCGTCGGACTCCCTTGGTGCTGGGGATCCCTCCACCTCTCAGCTCCGAATGCACATGCGCGGCAAGAGGCGCTCGCGCATTTAAACGGAAGCTCCTCTAGCAGCTGTCAATGAGACAGCCACAGAGGCTGGATTTACCCTCAGTGAAACATAGCCATTTCCCTGAAACAGCTATGTTTTCAGCCGCAGGGTTAAAACTAGAGGGACCTGGCACCCAGACCACTTCATTGAGCTGATGTGATCTGGGTGTCTGTAGTGGTCCTTTAAGTGTGTGTGCATACCGCGGTCGCAGCCCTGTAACCCCTGCGACCAGGTGCCCGCCATTTGTTGCGGCCCCGACCAGCGCCGAGATCAATTTTCGCACCAGGGTCCCATGGGTCATGTGTACGCCACTGGATTCAGAGGATGCCACAATTGACATGTGCTCCTCATTTCATGCCTGGCAAACTGCCTATAAATGCAATGGGCCCAATTAACTTGAGTTATGCAATGTTTAGATAATGTTGCCAGAAATGTAAGTCTAATGATACTGGGTGAGGCCTGCCCAGTTTGGTGGAAAAGAAGAGCAACATAATTTTGTATGTTGGTTTAATGCCAATACAGATAACTGGGATGGAATTGGAATAGAGTATAATGTAGCTACCAGTAGCTAACTGTCTAGATAACCTTGAACTTTAAAACAAAATATACTAATCAAGGCATGTCTTAATCAGGTAACCAATGTCTGCTTCTCAATCCTTTAATATTACAGCTTTAACTCTATTTCCTCTAGTGTATAATTGTAATTGATATAGAATGCAGTGCATTACAGGCAACATCATATCAGGAAGCATTTTATTATATTCACAGAGGTGGCATGCAGCTGGTGACTTGTGTAATGTTTACAGATGGATAGCATGAAGTACAATGAAGACTAAAAAGTGCAGGTAAACTAGCGATCGTAACAGTTTAGAAAAGCTCAAAGAGTTCAGTTTAATGGACCACAATTCTAAGACACTAAGGCTGCAAAAACTTTAGGAGCTATTAAAACAAAACAAAAAACAACAACTTTGTTTTTACCTTTTTCAATATGTCATCAACCAATTTCAAGAATATTTCATCTACATTGAAATTGTCCTTGGCACTTGCTTCACAGAAACGCATCCCTGTGATCTGTTGTGCAAACTGAGAAATAAATACATTTAGCACACACAAAATGTGAAATTAAAATCACATACTCTTAATTGCCAATGAAATCAACAGAAAAATCTATTTAATCCCTTAAGGACACATGACATGTGTGACATGTCATGATTCCCTTTTATTCCAGAAGTTTGGTCCTTAACAGGTTAAATCAATGGTTCTAAACCCTTTTGGCAGACACCAAATTACTGTCAAGATACCTTACCTCACTCACAGACACCCACGTGGAAGGGTCCCTGCAGTCAAATCCTATCTCTAGATGCTCAGCATACATGCCCCTTTTTACAATACGATGCGTCGATGAGGTGTCTTCGTGCCATTTTCACCTAAAACATTTTGGGGGCGTACTCTTAAAGCAAAAGACGCTCCCATATAAATAGAACGTCTTTTGCCTTGTTCAGTGGCCTATTGTGGTTCCTTTGTTGATTCCTCTAGTGCTTTTGTATTTTCTCAATTCTTCAGACACCTCATCTCATTCAGTATCTCAGATGGAGCTGAAGGTACACCTTCCAACAGGACAAGGACTCTTAAGCACACAGTCAAGAGTGGCTTAGGGACAAATCTTTTAATGTCCTTGAATGGCCTGTCAGAGCCTGGACTTTAGCCCAATTGATCTCCGGAGAGACCTGAAAATGGCAGTCCACAGACAGTCCCAATCCAACCAGACCGTGCTTGAGAAGATCTGCAGAGATGAATGAAAGAGTACTACCCAAATCCAAGGTGTGCAAAGTTTTTAGCAGAATACCCAAAAATACTTGAGGATTTAATCACTGCCAAAGGAGGTTTAACAAAATACAGAATTAAGGGTCTGAATACTCATGTTAATGTAAGATTTCAGTTTTTTTTCTGTTAAATATATTTGCAATGGAATCAAATCTGGTTTTTGCTTTGGCATCATGGGATACTCAGAGTAGATTGAAATATTCACACACACTATCATAAATTTTAAAAGGTTTACCTTTTCTCCCTGCTGCTTTGTAATTTCTCTGTCGATTTCACAGTCTAGCTTATTACCAACTAGTAGAAGTTCTGCATCTTCTGATGCATACTACGGAAAAAAAACATTATCTGATTTACTTGTTCTCTAATACCTTCATTTAAAAAATTGTTAATCACAGCAAGTCTTTGCAACAAAACAGTATCTGCAACTCTCAAACAGGGTGATCTTCATTTAAAGGGATGCTCTTAGTCAGTTCTAGGGATTATCAATACGTCACCGGCCCTACCGCTGGTTCTGTGTCCCACCATTTTAAATAGATTTACACAAACTAAGGGCCCCCCCGGGTGCCTAATCTTTCAGAAGCTGTGCTGTAGATGTGAGGACTCAGCACCACTTATAACCTGGGACAAAGTGCTATGTTTGCACTCTCTTTGAGCAATAAACCTGAGGACAAATGAGTGCATCCTCAAAGTGAAGTCTGACCATTGTAAGAATGTACATAATATTAAAGATATGTCATGTAAATTAGTGATGGAATAGCATGTCAATTTCACAGAACCATTAACGAGCCATTAAGGCTACTGTTCTACAACTGTCCCTTGAAGGACATCACTCCATGCCCACCTTATCGATCATTTTCATCCATTTTGGTAAATCTTCAAAAGTCTCTTTTTTTGTGATATCATAGACTAATATGATACCTTTGGCACTCCTGTAGTAGGCTGAAGTAATGCTGTTAAATCTCTCTTGGCCAGCTGTGTCCCTAAAGAGCAAAAGAAGGAAACTGTAACAATTAAACTGTTGTCAAATCTCAACTCAGACTCTTGTAAACCCCCCATAGTAAAGTCTGAATAGCAATGTTCAGCTTTACACCTACTGTAACTAGTTCACACAATGTGTCATTGTACAAGTATGATCAACAACCCAAATATCTTGGCACAGAAAGGAGAGAACACATAATTGTAGTAATTGACATCTGTTAATTTACAGACATTATGTAAAAATTATTTAATCAGTAACATTAACTAGATCAGAGGGATATTAGAATTTATTTTCAAACAGGAGGATACGTTAGTTATGGCAAGCAACAGAAAGGTATTTACTCTGTGATAAACGATTACAAAAATATCTAATCTTCAAACAAAATCTTCCTCAATGATTAAAATACAGATGATTTGCCTATATTTTAAGGTGCCTTTAGTGTAAAATGCAATTTAAAATGAATAAAATATATTCAGAATAAGAAAAATACAATCAAAATGTGTATTGAAAACTAAGATATAAATGCAAATTGGATGAAAAAGTAAGATAACCACACACGTATTACTATGAGTTGTCTCATAACTCTAAAAGGATATTAGGTACCAGAGAATTCAGCAGTAACACTGGAAGGACATAATCAACACAGTAAAACCATTTCATTAAGCTGAAGGTGTTTTGGCTCTTGTTGAGTTCCTTTAAGGTGGAACAGTTTATTTGCTATTTATAATCTCTTCCCTAGTCGAGTATCATTGCAATAATCTTTTGCCGTCTACCAAACAAAATAAAAATTAAAAGGAACACTATAGCGTTAGGAATACAAATGTGTATTCCTAATGCTAAGGTGTCCTGTAGTTTTTGTTTACTCCCCTCAAATGGATAAAAAGGTAGTTAACTTACATTTTCTTCCATGGCACGGTGCTCTCTCTGAGAGTCCTGCCTCATTGGCTGAATTCATCAAGCCAATCACCAAATTATGCTGAAGTGCCTCTCCAGCATTTTAACCCTGCACTGTAAACAATGCTCCTGCAGAATGGCAATGTTTTACACTGCAGGTGTTAAAACTACAGGGACATGACACCCAGACCACTTCATTGAGAAAAAGTGCTTTGGGCACCTATAGTGTCTCTTTCTAGTATAAATGATCTCATACTTCCTACCTACTGGAATCATATTAAAACACAATTCCATACTACGTTGACTGGACCAAACAATTAACAGTACATAAACTCACTGACATGGTGGGCTACAAGTAGAGAAAATTATCTTTAAAAAGTCTATTTGCATTGTGTGGCATGGCTATGCATCAAATGAAAGACTGCTAGCACTTTTAATGTAAGCATTCCAGTGACACTATGTACAAGACGAAAAATGTGTAGCAAGAGATAAACAGAGCTACACTAACTACCTTAGGGGAATAAGAAAAGCAAGCTAAATGATTTGCATGCAACAGAGCTGTGAAGAAGTGGTAAAAGTGATGAACATCATGAATTTACCTCCTGTTCAGGCAGCCGTCTCCCCTTTGAGTGATGTTAGATAACCAGGCCAGAGGCTATTGCTTTCCAGACAGGGACACAGATGAAGGACCAAGACATGCCACATACATTCAAGCAATAGCTGACCGGTGGAGCCACTGGGTGCCAGTTAAGTCAGTTGGAAGCACAACAAGCAAATGGTGAGATGGAAAAAATACAGTGAGTGAATGTATAAGAAGAGTTAGTGAACGTGGGAAGCACTGTGAAGACATTAACATTCAAAGTGTTCTAGGCAGGATTAGTTATGTTATTGCAAGAAACCCAGCATCGGCAGATGAATTTAGTAGTTAAAAATAAAGCTTGTCAATTTACTAATAAATCCTTGTCAGCAGTAACCAGTAAAAGGCATTTGCTTTTACACTATAATATGCATTCATTATACAATTAATAAATTATGTAAACAAAATGCCTTGAACTGAATAGAATACAATGAATAAATATATTGAAAATTTAGAACAGTGTTTCTCAACCCTTTCAGTAAAAGTACCTCTGTACGTCTCAAGGCAAAAAAACAAAACAACCCATCATCTTCTAATACAATTTGCTACCCCCTCAGAGCCGGATTTACATTACGAGCGCCTGTAGGCACAGAATTGTTTTTGTATATATACACACACACACACACACACACATAAAGAGTGTGTGTATGTGTAGAAGTGTGTGTAAATGTCTATGTATTTCTGAGTATGTGTGTAGCGTATGTGAGTGTATGTAACAGTGTTGTTAGTAGCAGTATGTTTTAATAGAACAAAAAAAAAAGAAAGAAGCGACCCTATTCCAGTTCTGGGTATAGTCCACAAAGACACTAATAATGAGCCAACAATTAAACGAAAAGGAAAATGTGGAGGTAGGGAATGGGACCACCACTTAGATACTATAGCCCTATTCCTTATCTGTTGAGAATATTTGTGATATTTTGTCTTAAAAGACATGGGATTAATATGTTACTTAGACTCTAAGTAGAAAACCATCTCATAAATCTGTGCTGTACAGTGGCAAATACTGTATGTACATCTATTCCTGGTGCCTGCAGGAGCTACACGTCCTGAAAATGATCGGCAAAAAAAAAAAAAAAAAAAGGACCCCCTACACAGTATTATTTTCATTAATATTTCTTGTGTTTTAAAACTGTATTCACTGCACAATGCATAAAGGGTGGGATGGTTTAAAGACAAAACACTAGTTGAATGATATAAAGCAAACACACACACCTAACCTCGTCATGTGCAAACATTATACTAAGATGTGGAAGGAATGGAATGTTCTACTGATGTGAAAAATATGTCAACACAGACATGTGACCATTGTACGGGGCTTTGGAAAAGAAACAGTAACATTACACTTTATGTCTGCGAGAACTGAATCCAACTTTATAAGATACTCTAAGTAGCTCCCTGACTTGCTGAAAAGTCCACCCTTCACACTCAGACATAATATAGGGAAAGGAAGAAAAGAAATATCCAGAAACACCTGAGGTTTCTTCTAAAAGACAGTCTTTTTTTATTTGAAACAAGAAAGTGGAGACAATGTTTTGGCTCCTATAAGACTTTATCAAATAAAAAGACTGCCTTTTAGGAGAAACCTCAGGTGTGCCTAATTATTTATTTTCTTCCATTTGATGTCTTCACGGATTGGCCCTCCCTTTCTGGAGCATCCTGCAGGAAGTATTCACTCTTTTTAGTGTGTGCATAATACTCTTTTTTTTTTTTTGCAAACATAATATATGGAAAGCACAGCATTAAAATTACCCATTCAAAAAAAGCATAGGCATTTGAATACTGTACAGGCCACAAGTGAAAAACTCAAAAGCTTTATTTTAATGGAGTAAGCACCGTTACACATGAAAAAAAAAAAACACAAAACAAAACAACACGGTACTACATAAATTCAAAACGGTATTTATTTATTTTTTAAGTCACAAAGTTAGTTTATTCCCACCCCCCCCCATTTATTTATACTAATTTTTTTCTACATAAAACAATACAAATCAAAGACAAAAGAAAGAAAATGTTAAGCAAATACAATAGAGACATATGTAGACACAAAAATACTGTTAGAATAATTTCATCTACACCAGAAATCAATTGTGTGGTGAAAAATACACTTATCTCAATGGATAGTGATGACAGCTTCCTGCAGGAATATCCCAGAATGTATTATTTTATACACAATATAAGAACAACCGACAAAGTGGAGAATACAGCTGTAAATCTACAAAAGAACAGCAATAGTGTGAAACTGAAAAAAAATAAAAAAGATATAAAATGCGCTAATTGGGTTACATTCACAGGATGGAGAATATCGCCTTAGGGTGCCACCCCTGATGAAGATGGGGGGCTGATCCAAATCACCTCCTCTCCTTTCGACAGCACTGCAGCATTAAGAGCCGGACTCAAGTTGAAGAGTATAAAGTAACTTCTGCCTTTATTGTTAAAGGATCACTATAGGGTCAGGAAAACAAAGTGGTTTTCCTGACACTATAGTGCCCTGAGGGTGCCCCCACCCTCAGGGTCCCCCTTCAGCAGCTTCCCTTAATCCAGTGCCGGGCTCCCTCGGCTCTGGTGACCTCTCCTCCTCCGCCGTCAGCGGAGCCGAATGCGCATGCGCGGCAAGTCCTGCGCGCGCATTCAAAGTGTCCATAGGAAAGCATTTCTCAATACTTTCCTATGGACGCTCTGCGCGATGGAGGCGAAATGTGCCTCCAGCATCGCAGATGCGCCTCTAGTGGCTGTCCGGAAGACAGCCACTAGAGGCTGGATTAACCCCAAATGTAAACATAATTTCTCTGAAACTGCTATGTTTGCATCTGAAGGGTTAAAACCTGAGAGACCTGGCACCCAAATCACTTCATTGAGCTGAAGTGGTCTGGGTGACAATGTGTCCCTTTAAAATCAATGTATAAATGAAAGATATGATAAATATATATAAAATGTTGGTAGATCTGGTCCCACATGTTTCGTCCCAAAGGACTTCCTAAGGGACCCTCAGAAGTATACAGCAACAAAATGAGTAAAAATCTAAACAAAGTAAAAATCACAATGTGAAAAGCAGTATAAAACCTTCCCCCTGCTGTCTCTCCTTATATATGGCACTTAATTATCCTTATTGGTGGTCCAGGGTGTGTTCCCTCATGTTCCCAGCTGTTCACCATCTCTTCTCATCCATTTTTTCTCCCCCCCCCTCACCGGTCTTCCATGTTTACATCACGTGGAAGGCAAGACAGACGACAAGTGGAACAGATGACAAGTGGAGATCGTCGCAACGGAAGTGACTTCAGCTGATGCGATGTAAACACACACAAAAAAATATATATATATCGAAGAGAAGAGATTGTGAACAGCTGGGAACACCCCTTGGACCACCAATAAGAAGAATTATGAGCCACATATAAGGAGAGACCCAAGGGGGAGGTGTTTTATACTGCTTTTCACATTGTGATTTTTACCCATTTTGCAGCTGTATACTTCTGAGGGTCCCTAAAGAAGTCCTTTGGGATGAAACATGTAGGACCAGATCTAACAAAGTTTTATATATTTCATTTATACATTGATTTTACCAATAAATACTCTTCATCTTGAGTCCGGTTCTTCATGCTGCAGTGCTGTCGAAAGGAGAGGAGGTGATTTGGATCAGCCCCCCATCTTCATCAGGGGAGGCACCCTAAGGCGATATACCATTCTCCATCCTGTGACTGTAACCAAATTAGCGCATTTTATATATATATATATATATATATATATATATTTATTTTTTTACAGTTTCACACTATTGCTGTTCTTTAATTTTTTTGTAGATTTACAGCTGTATTCTCCACTTTGACAGTTGTTCTCACAATACAGACAGACTATATTCAGACATAAGATTGGATTGGTCACTATACAAAATAAGAAAAAAATACTACAACATCATTCAAACAGACACTGTGGTTGTGGGAACAGTAATTTTATGCCCATTATGAACGACTCAGGAGCTTAATTCATTTTTTATTTTTTTCACGAGTTAAATATCTTGCAACAGCTGAACCTCAAATCCAATTTGACAAATGCATAGCATACAATGAAACGCCCAGGATTGGGTGAGTAGTTTATCGCTTTTTTCTTCCTTCTGGACCTGGAGATCTCCTTGCAATTAGCTGAAAAATGTATTTAAAAAGTGTAGGAAAAGAAAATTGCGATTTCGGATACCTTAACTTCAGAATATTAAATGTAATTAGGTATCGACCGATTATCGGTTTTGCCGATATTATCGGCCTATATTCCGATTTTTTTTTGTAAGTATCGGGCGAAAATCACCAGCAATACCAATAATGAATGAGTGGACCGGCGCGCCCATAAGGCGGCACAAGCGGCTGCCTTAGGGCGTACCGGCCCAGGGGGCACTAGATCTGAGTGACTGGCAGGAAATGGGCGCACAGCACTCCCTCCTGCCAGGCACTCTGTGAAGCGTGGCCGAGCGGAGCAGTTCACACCGCGGTACAGAAACTTATGTTTCCTGTACCCGGCCGGACTGAAACGAAGTGCACACAGAGAGCTCTTCCTGTCAGTCCGGCCGGGTACAGGATCTCCTGTACCACGGTGCGCAATGCTCCGCTCGGCCACGCTACCAGGAGACACACTGGGGAGCAGTGGAGGGGAGATACACACACACAAACACACTGCATGCACTACCCACACACACATTGCATCCACTACACAAACACTGCATTTACTAACCAAATACTCTCACTGCATCCACTACACACACAATATTCTTGAAAACAAAAAAACTCTGACTGGCATGTATATTTTGTGCATGTACCACTTAATAAAAATATTAAAAATTTTTTTAAAAAATGCGGTAAATATACAGAATAACGTAAAGCTATCGGCCTGAAGGTTCATAGATTACCAGTATTGGCTCTAAAAAAGTCAATATCGGTCGATCCCTACATTTAAGAAATTAAATTCTCCACAGTCTGAGCAGTCAGTGATAAAAACAGATTCACACATGTGCTTCCAAAGCACTGAGAGCAAACAGAGAGGAAACTGGAGCGTCCTTGCTGGTTCTATATATAGAAGAGTGTGCAGAGTCTAGGGAGATCAAATGTGTGCACTATAGTTAAATAGAGGCATGTGACAATATTAGCCATGTGTAACAGACAAATACATAGTACCACATGCAAGATCAATCAGCACACATACTTTTATCTGGTATGTTGGCTCTCTAGATGAATGAACTATACAGCCCCTTAAACAATACACAAACTCCATCTTCTGTGTGAAAACACATTTGTTCCCTTTCTCCATACATGCCAGTTCTCACTATACACATACAATTATGAACTAAAGACAAAACTACTAATAAACATATTGCATACAATAAAAATGTAAACAGAATCACATCCACAATATACATTTTCAATATTTGCTAAGTGATTCACTTACCAGATCTGTAACCTAATTTTCTTCCCTCTTAGCTCTACTGTTTTGATTTTAAAATCAACACCTGAGGATATAAAATGCAATTTAAAAATCACATTTATATAACCAAAGCAGTAGATACAGGCAATATATCACCGTAAATCATTACTGAAGAGCAACACTTGCACTAAACATTTTCTTGCTACCAAATACCAGATGTGCATGGAGATTTTTAAGATGAATTGGACTGCAAGGAAAACAAATACTAACAGAAATGTTCTAATGTGTAGTGAAAAGCAGAATGCAGGCTATCATAGCAGCAAATGTAAATGTTTTGGAAAAGGTGCACATTAATACCTTTGTGATGTTGGTATTAATAAAGGCTCACAGAGGAGCCAAACGTTGTCTCCACTTCCTTGTTTCAAATAAAGACTGCCTTTTAGAAGAAACCTCAGGTGTGCCTGGATATCTCATTTCTTCCATTTGATGTCTTCAGAGATTGACCCTCCCTTTCTGGAGCTCCCTGCATGAAGTATTCCCCCCTTTTTTAGTGTGTGCATTTTCCTTTTTTTTTTTTAAATCACTGTTATAAGCTCTGCCCTTTTTTATCAGAACCCCCCAAAAAACAAAACAAGAGGGACTTTTGACTTGTACTAAAAGGTAGTTATGGAGGAGAAGCTGTTTCTATCCCTAATCGAATATGGTAATGTGTATCCAGTACTGTGCCAACTTGTGATTTTACTTGCTAAATCTTTAATATAGACAACAAAAATCATTGCTGAAAGGTTATTAGAGGATTGAAGTTTCTTAAAGGGACTGCCAAAATCCAACACGGTTTAGTAGACATACCCCCAATGAAAACATGCTTGCATTTAATGATGCATTTTATTTATTTATTTTTTTTAACTGGCTGGGTATAGCTAAAAACTGTTTGCAAAATGTGTAGATCTCTTGTCTGCTGCCTTTGCAAGTCATTTCCCTTCTTCCCCAGCCCAGACTTTCTGTGACTGTCCAATCACAGACTTCCCAATGAGAAGTCTTTGCAAGGCAGGTGCCTGAGCAAGTCAAAGTGCTTGAAAGGTCTAGCGTGTCCCTTTAAGCTACTTGTATTTCATGTACAATTTCATTACTCAGCATATCTTTTTACGACAGATAGTATATTCATGGAACTGGTGAAAATTTGTGCCTAACCAATGCATGGTTGTTGTGTGCACCAAAGAAATGGAATGGAGTCCACTGAGGGGGCTGTACTTTAACAGTGCAGTCAAATAGTGACATAACTTTTTAAACTATTATCAAGAAGGATGAAGAGTATTGCTAAATTGGCAGAATACAATGACATTTTAAAAATAGCAGGGATTGATAAATATTGGAAGCAGATTGCCATAGTGACAACGATGTGACATGGCACACATATTGTCATGGTATGTAGCATCAGCTGTGCACACTTCTCTGCATTAGTTCTGAAATATAGACCATGGAGTATATGTTGCATGGAGAACTATGATCTAACCCAGTTTGACAAGATAAAAGAAGCTCTGACAGCAGCCACAATAAGTGAAGTAATAGATCATAATAATAGATGTGAACAGAAACTAGTTTATATTTAACTCAAAAGTAGAGAGCAGACACTTTGCTGCTTTACACCTGTGACGTATGTGATGTGTGAGAAGATGAGTGTTGTTTGTGCTATTAAGCGACTAATGTGCAATGTAAGTCACGCGGATGCCTTGTAGGCACTCATAAGTCCAATATAAAATCAGAGAGCTGAAAACAGAGTAATTTGGGTATAATTGTCCTAAAGTGACATTCACCTTAAATGTCTATCGAGGAGAACTTTGAAGGTAATTATTGATTAAAATGTGTTCATAAATAGGGCCAGTAGTTTTGCCTACAGAGGCGACAAAGCATTTTGACACCCCCAAAATGAGTGTTAGTCTGTGGTGCCTATAAACCCAACTTCTGGAATCTTAGCCCCTTTTTGAATGCTTTACACACCTCTAGTTTATCTTATGACCTACAGTCCTCCTTGGATTTCCTATTCACCCCTTAGTGTTATTTTTTATTTAGGTTTTTCAAGTAAAAAAAATAATAGCATACATAGTGAAGAGCGGGCAATAATCACAGTAAATTAATTAGTTTTTTATTTTATCTTACCTAACCCCCACTAACTACCCTATGTGTCTGAACTACCCATGTCTTACTCCCCCTTCCATTGTGTCTGTCAGACTCCTATTTTTTTGGACCCCCTTTGTGGTGCTCTCTCTCACCCTTACTGTTGTGTGGCGTTACAGACTGGGGTACAGATCTTCCTCTATCTGGCCTGACAGAAAGCCATTTGCCGCTCATTTTCTGCCACCTCCATCGAGCAACTCCCTGCCAGACCTGTAGAGAAAACAGATCCTCTACCTCAGTCTGTGAGGTCAGAGAGTGAATGGCGGAAGTTCTGTACAACGCCTGACTCTGGAAATTGCTCCATCCGGGCCGGTGCGTCCTAAGTCGACATCCCATGCCGCCTTATGCATCGGCCCTGCATTAAATAATAGGGAAACATTTTTACCCCCATATGGCCAGTAAGAAAAAAAAAAAGAGCCAGGCAAAGTTTTGTAGACTTATCCAAACATTTAGAAGCCAGAAGTACAATTCTAGGGGTGTCTGGCAAATTGACCTCTGGATTTGTCAAGCCTGTAACCCTTGCAATTTACTGAAGAATGTTCTATCAATATTCTCAACCACATGGCTGATGGACAGAGAAATGTTGAGGTACGGGGGAAGGGCAAGTGAGAGCCCAGCTGTGCAATTACTTCTTTGAGTCTGTGCTGTCTAACTGCGGCCCCCTAGGGTTGGCAGATAAAATGACTTTACTGCATGACTGTAATTTGGTGTTTTACTTAGCATAGGCAGAGAGCATGTAAATAGACATATGCAGCATCAAAAACTATGCTCTAGTAAACAGAAGTTAACTGGGGCAAAACATTACAGTGTTAAGTTAGGCATTCAGAAAGTAAACAGGGTTATTCACCAAAGTAAGCATATAAAATGTTATTTTGGAATTTCAAACAGCTGATCTGGTAATATAGTTGACTTTTCCAGTTCAACTAATATGGCCTAAAATGCACAATATCCTGTTGAATTCAAGCTAATGAATACATTTAGTGAATAACCTTCACTGAGACTGGTGGCATCACTCACTTAGTCATACCAGCTACACGTTCAACAGGTTATCTTTACATCCAGAATCTTGACAGAAATTTGTATTCATTACATTTGCTAAATCTGAAAATTCCAAGCTAGAAAAAAAGCTTGTTCCAGCTTGTTTATTCTGGTTGAAATGTGCAATTCTAAGGGATTTTAAACATTTCCAATATATATGAAAATATATGAAAATATCCCCAAAATTGTGACAAATTTCAAATGATTCACCGTCAACAAATGTTGACATGGCGCAATGTGGCAACCATGTATTTATTTACATGTCATTAACGTGTACTAAATTTTGTTGATATCAAAATATTAACGGTTGGATGGTTTACTATGTCTCCAAAAACCCCACAAGAGCATATTTCGTGTGTTATACATTATCTTATTTTTGGGTTAGGGGTAGAGTTAATTTGATCTTTATGTAGCACTGGTACTAACTGCCCTAGATTGGTGGGAATTAATCCCCTGGGGAGCAGATTCTCACCAATAACACATTTCTTATACCAACATTGATGTCAGAAGATGAGCTGCAAAGAGAGAAATGTGCTGTATACACATGTATGTCCAAGTGTTACCCTGAAAAGTTAGTACCATGATCACTGTGTCAGTCATACCTACATTTCCACAGACTGTACATTTAAGAATACAGTTTGTATTTGTATGCATAGTGATGCCATTGTATAGTGTTAAAAAAAAAAAAAAAGTTTGCATTTTATAAGTCATAATTAAAACTACTCTTCAGCTGTCTCCTGATCTCCACTTGATAACCTCACAGAGTCCCCAAGGACTTTCAAGTAGTTTGCCAGTGTTCTAATAACAGATTTGTGAGGAAACTGTTATAAATGATTTTGTCTACTGAACCTACCTAAGAGCAGTGACAGCTAACTTTTGGCAACTCAGTTGCTGTGGACTATAGCCCCAGGATGCTCAGCCTGCAACTCTTTGTAAACACTTGTAATGGAGGTGTATGCCCTTGGGGGTGATACCCGTACACCACTAGGCTAAAGATAAAGAACCTATGGCTGGCTGAGCATCATAGGAGATATAATCCATCACAGCCTTAACCCGCAGGTCAGACCCCATTAACCCCCAGATAACTCACCCACTGTGGATTTGCACGCCTCGCAGAACGTGTCGTCCGTGAACCGCTCCATGAGGCTGGTCTTGCCCACTCCCCGGGAGCCGATGATGATTACTTGCAGTTTGAAGTCGGCAGGCCGGAGGGGCTGTTTCCGCCGGCGGGCCTGAGCCCCGGTCAGAGCCGGGGAGCTGGAGCCGGAGCCGCCGAGGGCGGTGTGATTGCTGCCCCCGCCACGGTGGAATCCGGGTCTGGAATCCATTAACACATCCGGGCGGGCAGGGGAACGGCGAGCGCTTCGAGACAGATCGGTTCGGCCCGGAAGTGGAGAGTTGGGAGAGCAGCCGGGGCGTCAGAGAGCTGCTCCCTGTGTGTATCCCACACAAGGAAATCACTGGATCAGAGCTACTGAGTGCATGGGAAGCTCCCTCTATGGATGTGGAAGACTGAACCAGCATTATTATTATTGTTATACTGTAATAATAAAATCATGAATGGATCTTAATAGCTGTGAGAATGTTTTTCAAAATAAATGTATTAGTAATAAAATTCTCATGTAGCTATCGGTCTGCATTTTATGACACTCTTCATATAGCGATTTTCTAAGATTCTAAAAGGAACAGATAGTATTACTAGAAATACACACACTGTATGGACAAAAGTATTGGGAGATATATCATTATTATTGAATGCATTTGTTTCAGTCAGACCTGTTGCCACAGGTGGGTGATTCTGAAGAGTTCAGTGAATTCGTGGTTCTGTGATAGGATTACACCTTTGCAATAAGTCTGTGTGTGAAATTTCATCGCAGCTAGATATTTCATGGTCGAATGTAAGTGGTATTATTGGAAAGTTTAAGTGTTAGGGTACATAGTGCGTAAAAGTCGCTAGCACTCTGCTGATTCCATAGTTGGAGCATTCCAAACTTGCACTGGCATTAACCCCTTAAAACCGGAGGGCGTACTATTACGCCCTATTCTAAGCGGCTCTAAATGCCGCAGGGCGTAATAGTACGCCCTCCGTTTTTTTTTTACTTACCCGGTCGCCAGCGATCGCAGTTGGGGAGACTCACCTGGGATCCCAGGGAGTCCCCCGCGGCGGATCCTGCCTCCTGCGCCATCCCCCGGCCACGTGAGAGTGAGGTATATTATATATATATTTATATATAATATAAAAAAAATGTAAATACGTTAAAATAAAATAAAAAAATAATTAAAAATAAATAATTAAAAAATATATAGATGTGTGTTATTTCGTTCTATCTGTATTGTGATATTAATATATATATATATAAATTTATATCAAAATACACGTAGAATGAAATAATATGTATATCTGATACATAAATATATACGTATATATCACTATATATATACCTATATATATATATAAAAATATTAAAAAATATATATATATATACATATATATACACATACATATATATATATATATATATATATATATACATATATTAATTCTACATATATATTTATGTAATATTTTTACATAATTAGGTATCTTAATTAATTACAATTAGCGGGACCTGCCTGACAACCCATGCCGAAAGAATTTAATTTGCTAGCACTATATTTAGCCCTATAACTTTCCAAGACACCATAAAACCAGTACATGGGGGATACTGTTTTACTCGGGAGACTTCGCTGAACACAAATATTAGTGTTTCAAAACAGTAAAATGTATTACAACAATATCGCCAGTAAAATTGAAGTTTTTTCATTTTTCACACACAAACAGCACTTACACGGATGATATTATTGCTGTGATACTTTTTACTGTTTTGAAACACAAATATTTGTGTTCAGTGAAGTCTCCCGAGTACAACAGTACCCCTCATGTACAGGTTTTATGGTGTTTTCAAAAGTTACAGCGTCAAATATAAGGCTTGCGTTTCATTTTTTTCACATTAAAATTCGCCAGATTGGTTACGTTGCCTTTGAGACCCTATGGTAGCCCAAGAATGAAAATTACCCCTATGATGGCATACCATTTGCAATAGTAGACAACCCAAGGTATTGCAAATTGGGTATGTCCAGTCTTTTTTAGTAGCCACTTAGTCACAAACACTGGCCAAAATTGGCATTTTTCACACACGAACAAATACTAACGCTAACCTTGGCCAGTGTTTGTGACCAAATGGCTAATAAAAAAGACTGGACATACCCCATTTGCAATACCTTGGGTTGTCTACTATTGCAAATGGTATGCCATTATGGGTGTAAATTTAATTCCTGGGCTACTATACAGTCTCAAAGCAACTTAACCAATCTGGTGAATTTCAATTTCAAATGTAACGTGCTATATTTGACCCTGTAACTTCCCAAAAGTCCATAAAACCTGTACATAGGGGGTACTGTTTTACACGTGAGACTTTGCTGAATAGAAATATGTGGGGGGTTTTTTGCAGTAAAAGCGAACAGTATTATGAAATTGACAGTTAAAATGTCATGTAGAACTACAAAAATAACAAAATTTCTTATTTTCTCCCATTTTTTTCATATTAAATTATGTTTCATAGCTAAATATTTGATATTAAATGAAAGTCCTGTTTCCCCTGAATAAAATGATATATAATAAGGGCGGGTGCATTTAATAGGAAAGAGGTGAATAACGGTTGGACAGACATATAGTGCAAATGCCAGGTTTTGTTTACGTTTTGTTTTGTTCACAACGTGTACATTTGGCTCAGTCCTTAAGGGGTTAATATCAGCTTCAGGGAATGGGTTTCAATGGCTGAGCAGCTGCATGCAAGCCTCACATCACCAAGTTCAATGCTAAGCAGTGGATCGAGCGGTGTAAAGCACACCGCCACTAAACTCTGGAGCCGTTGAAACATGTTCTGTGGAATGACAAATCACGCTTCTCTGTTTGGCAGTCTAATGGGCAAATATGTATTTTGCGGATGCCAGGAGAACGTTGCCTGGCTGTATTGTGCCAACTGTAAAGTTTGGTGGAATAGGATTAATGGTATGGGGCTGTTTCTCAGAGATTGGGCTGGGCCCAGTGGCATAACTAGAAACTATGGGGGCCCGGTGCGAAGATTGCCCAGTGGCATCCCCCATACGTCTCAACCCCCCAGCCCTTCCATGTGTCACACTCACGCTCCTCAATGTCTCTCGTTCATACAAAAACACACTGACATACATGCAGATACACACCATATAACATACAGATACATACACGGACACACATACACACACGCAAATGCAGACACACAAACTAACACACAGTTACACAGACATATATATACACATACACACATGCAGATACACAGAATTACACACTTTGAGATACACAGAATGACACTCCTACAGATACAAACACTGACACAAATTCAGATGTACACACACACACTGACACATGCATACAGAGACAAACATAGAAACAGACACACACATACATACAGAGACACACACACTCAAACAAATACATAAATACAGAGACACACATACAGAGACACATAGAGACACACACACAGACAGAGACACACACACATACAGACACACACAAACATACATACAGACACACACACATACATTAAGACACTCACACGTGCACAATGGTTTAGTCACCCTCCTGTTTCCTACCTTTTAGGTGCAGCGCTGACCGGGCCCCCTGAAAATACATAGCATCAGTTGACCCCTAAACACACGGTGCCAGCGGTTGCAGGGGTCCACAGGGCGGCCTGGCCCCCTGGAGTGACGGGCCCAGTCGCAGCTGCAACCTCTGCGACTGCGATAGTTCCACCACTGGCTAGGTCCCTTACTTCCAGTGAAGGGAAATCTTAATGCTTCAGGATACCAAGACATTTTGGACAACGCTATACTTCCAACTTTGTTGGAACAGATTGAAGAAGGTCCTTTTCTATTCCAGTATGACTAAGCCCTAGTGTACAAAGAAAGGTCCATAAAGACACTGTTGGATAAGTTTGGTGTGGAAGAACTGTACTCTCTTACACAGAGCTCTGACCTCTACCCTATCGAACACCTGTGAGATGTATTGGAATGGAGATTGCAAGCCAGGCCAACGCGGTGCTTTATCTTTGTGTTTGTATATGATTGTATCACGCAGCTTTGTTACATTGCTGCCAGCCACCCCATGTTTGTCTTATAAAGACAAATCACACAAATTACACACAGAAGAGAAAATAGCACAATTAGTAAAAAAAAAAAGGGGACAAAACATTTTTTAGATACATAAATGAGAAAAGGAAAATAAAGCAATGACTAGTTAGATTAAAAACAAAAGAAGGAAGGTATATAGAAGAGGATACAGGTCTATCTGACTTCCACAATGAAAATTTTTGTTCAGTATTTACAGATGAAATTGAAGGAAAGGTGCCTCAGTTAGGAAAAAGGACAAATGAGTCATTTGTTACATGTGAGTTTACAGAGGAAGAGGTTCTATTTCAACTGTCAAAAGTAAAGACAAATGACCTAATGGAATACACCCAAAGTTATTAAAAGAGCTTAGTGGTGTACTAGCAAAACCATTAACAGATGTATTTAACCAATCATTGTTAACAGGAGTAGTCCCAGACGATTGGAAGTTAGCGAATGTTGTGCCCATTCACAAGAAAGGTAGTAGGGAGGAGTCGGGCAACTATGGGCCTTAATTCAGTAGTGAGGAAAGTAATGGAAACCATGTTGTGGCAAAACTAGCCACTTTCTGAATGTAATTATATATTTTCTGCTATTTCCCGTATCGTCTGTTTCCCCGATCACAAGATCCATGTATGAAGCATTTGTGTGTTACAGCACACGAATATCGCTAGCATTCAGCTTGGTACCGAATGGGAGACCACCCCCAGCAGGTCGTGTGTCTCCAATTAGGTACTTTGCAACATTGTATTCGTGCTCAATTAATGTATATTGCGGGTGGCCGCCGTTCGTGTACCGAACACGTGGCGGCGGCCATCTTTGTTCTCGGAGACCCAAGCCGTTTGGGAGTTCTATTCTTTCGGGAATCTCATTCCCGCAGTTAGTACAACTGTTTTAAGCCCAGTGGTCCTGATCATGTAAATGAACGGCGTTCGGTTATTTGTGCTGGGATCTGAACGCAAGTTCCCTCAATAATGCGCTCAGGTCCCAGCTATGTAATAAGGGGTTTATTAGCTGCATAGCAGGAATATTATGTCAGTTATGATTTTTATGTATAAACTGTATTTTTACTCCCAGCAAGAACTACTCGAGAAATCCTTAGGTGGGGATTATTCCACCCGCGGCCTATCCATAGAGCAGTTTGTCTGCTCTGGTAAATGTGAGTAATAGAGACGGGAAATGCAAACTTGGGGGTCAATTACAACTTGACCCCAAAGTACGCAATACAGAAGGACTATGTGGGTATTAAAGGTCATAAACCCTAAATTAGTTAATTATAAAGAAAAGAAGGCCTCAGTGGATTAGAAGAGTAAAGGGCAAACTGCCGTTCCTCTAAAGATCCACCCAGGAATACCCACAGCGATAAAGGTGACTCAAGGGGCACACAATATAGAGTATAGCATAAAATCAAACATATCTTTATTATGTCTTATTTTAATA